CTTTTCACACATATGCAGTGAAACCCAGGCTTACCAGTTAAACTCAGGCTGATAGCCTACTGGGGGTACAGGCGCTACACTTTTTCAGAAGTGTTATTTTTGGCACCCAAAGGCAACAGTCAGTGTGGCATTACGATGTCATCCAAGGAAGCGGCTTGGGTTGTTTTGTGATCATTTTGATCACTAACCTGAGGTTAAGGGTTGTCTGCAGAATAAGGCCACCAAGAATTGTCCACTAGGCTATAATGAACATCTGCAAAATAAAACCCTTAGAAGAATACGTGAAAACGGAAAGGTGAATGAGTCCAGAGAGACTCCTAGAATTTTAGAAACCACCAAGCTAAGCGCTAGTGATGCAGTGGAGTCGATGTGGTCTTGCTTGAAATTGTCCTCAGTGCTCCTTTCCTTTGCTAGAGATGCCCGAGTTTCTTCTGTTGTCCCCTGGAAGCTCCACTGCGAGGCTGTTAGGAGAGCGTTTGTGGGCCTTCAGAGCCATCTAGCAGCCAAGAGTGGCAACTCAGGCAGCGTGCAGGGTTCGCAGTCCGGACTCCGAGTTTTGCTCAGCTGTGCCTCCCAGAAGCTGTGAAGAGCGTGCTTAGGCAAACTGTGGTGAGCTCGATCAAGAGGGCTTTCGGCTGAACCCTACATGGGCTGGCAACCCAAAGTAAGCCCTTCAGAGAAGGACCAGCCCACTGAGGAGTGGCAGAGTCACTACACTGGAGCCTATTAAGCCACTCAGTAACAAAATCAAGAACACTGATTCCCAGAGTTCATGGCTGTTCTCTATAGAGGATTCATATCCAGAGGAATCCAGGGGAATAAGTTGGTGCTGCTGCTGGGTGCCCCTGAGTTCTTAAAAATGGGAAGAAGGAATACAAGCAACATCGTTGCTGATCTTGATACCAACCAAGCAACCAGGTTGTGGATGATGTCTTCCAAATGCAAATTGCAGATCTTTCGAAGAGGAATGAAGTCAAAAGAATGGAGGACTTTAATCACCCCAACATTTGTTGGAAGTCTGACTCTGCCAATCATGGTCCTACCAGGAAACTCTTGACATGTCACCCTAACAATTTTCTCCTTCAGAGGATGGAGAAAGGGACAAGAGGATTGGCTAATTAGGGCTCTTCCAACAGCTCAGTTAAAGTGCCCTCCACTTGTCCCAAACCAGCAACAGTTTGCTGTCCCCCTTGCCAATTCCCATTGCCTCTGTTCTGGTTTGTAGCTGGAGAATGGTGTCCACATCTTCCATGCCGCCCCTCCCTCCCTCTCAATGTCAACAGCAGGTAGGAGAACCATCCACATTCAGAGTATTGTTTTGATTGATGATAGCTTTGGCAGAAGCCTAGATCTGCAGGTTCAACCATCTGCCAGAACTCTTCTTCCCCTCACCCACCCCTTCACCTGTCAGCTCTCCCAGCCTGAGGTTCAGCTTCTCTGGCTGGGAGAGATGGCCGGTGAAAGCAGAGATCAGGCTTTTCATACAATTCCTCTGATCCAGATCAGTCCAGATACCTGATAGCCTGAACAACAGCTGACAGGTATGGAGGGAATTGCATGAGCTGGCTTTCTCGTTGCCATTTTACATTGCTCCCCGCCACAGCCATCAGCTGTTGTTTGGGCTGCTTCTGAACCCGGTGGTGTTCTGGAAGTTCAAAAGCAGTCCAGACAACAGCTGACAGGCATGGAGGAAGTTGTCCCCCCACTTCACATGCCACCACTGGTCAGCTGCTGTTCAGGCTGATCTGGGTCTCCAAGCTGTGGATCAGTTCGAGAGATCTGGTGAGTACAGGGGAAAAGTCGGTTTGAAGGAACCACATCCTCTGCTGCCCAAAGATAATGCCCAGGAACTAGGGGGAAAGAAATATGCCAACACCTGCCTAAAGGCCAACAGGTGCCAGCTGATTCCACCCCTAAGGGTCACCTGACTGCAACACTGAATAAATGGTCAGTGAAGCACATCAGATTGTACTCATGACAGAAACGGCATGGCTTGTAGCTGGCTTAAGTGGGAAATACATAACTTTAACCCTGGAAGAGCTAAGGATGACTTTAAGGTATCTCAGATATAGGTCGGGAATTAAATGAAGGCAATTTCTGGGGAACATGCGGGGAGAGGAGGAGGAGGAGGAGGTGCTGGTTGTTGTTTCTGGGAT